ACTTTGACAATTTTCTGAAACTGTTTTTGAATCATACGTATAAATTCATGGGCATGAGTAATGAGTTCATACTAGTTACGCAAGAAATAAATCCACATATACCTTGTATAATGATCAATAAACAATGCAAAGTACATGAAACCATTATGAGAAGGGACTGGGGACGAACCCCAGAGATCAGTGTGAACAAAACCAAAGGGAGGATCATACACAGTAGTGCTAGAAGCAAATGGGCGTTGCGCTGTCTAAGCTTTAACGCAGCTGATGCAGACGGGGGAATAAAGGAGCTAGCATGAAATTTACCAAACAACAAATTCTGTTTAAACATCTCTAATAACTGAGTTGAATTTGGATGCACCAAATGACATTTCCATAAATCCCAAACATACTGTCGATTATAAGAAATCATAGAATATCTAACGGGAATGGAAAATAAAGTAGGATCATGAATGCCATCTGTGTCTCGGGTAATCGCACAAGCTCCCGTAGCTGCGCCTTGCTCTTCCCCCATATGGTGGCAAGTATGTGACCCCAAGGAAGAAGAAGCATGACCAATGCATGTAATTGAAAGAAGATCTCCACTCGCAACTTGTAACAGTTGAGACACGGGTGTAATAAAAGCAAAGAACCCGGCATTGTTAGTTATATGATTATAAGCAGCGGAATTAATAAGCCAACGATGAGGATTTCCTGTATCAGAACTAACAGAGAAGGCAAAGGTCATGACCTCCTAAAGAGAAGCCTGAATGAGCTTGGTGAGCTCAGTTTTGGAGACCCCCGAAGAGGAGGCAAAAGCATGAGAGGCAACAGGCACTAGGTCCACAGGCGTGGCAGCATAGGCAGTAGGAGGAGGAGCTATTCCGGACAGATGTGGACGAGCACGATGCAGAGGACAATCACTCAATATATGGCCGGACTATTTACAAAAATTACACCAGTTCCTTTTCCTACATAATGGTTGAATATGGCATGGCTCGCGATAGTAGTGGCAAATGCAAGGAGCAGCAGAAGACGAGTTGCTGGCAGAGGCCTGGAACTGCGGATGATGGGAGGTGGCAGCAAACGCAATAATTAGATTGGTCAAGGGAGCTAGAAGACGTGGAGTCTAGCTTAGCCTGACTTTTGAGATGTGTCTCTTCATGATAAAGTTCAGCCAAGATCTCCTCAAGCCCCGTGATGTTACGATACAATAGAGAGGCCCAGATGGGCTCAAACTCCCGACGAAGCTTCATAAGAAAATGCATAATGAGATCACTTCGCATTCATATCAGCCGTGAGAGGAGCAACAGTCAAAGTGGCCTAAAGGAGATCACTCTTCGTCCATAAATTCATAGCAGCTTGATAATACGAGCGAACGTCCATATCACCCTAGATTAGGGAAGCAAGAGCCAATTCCAGATCAAACTGACGGGAAGCACTGGCCTGACTATACGTAGTCGAGAGATGTTTCCACATCTCACTTGCCATAGAGAAACGTCACAAACTGAGACCCGTAGGAATGTCCACACAAGCCAGATGTCACATGATTACCTGGGCATTCTCGGCCTCCTAATCAGCGGGTGCCTTCTCCTTAGTTTGCCTAGTTTGCAAATTTTTTCACCTTTAGTTGCGAAGCCATATATGCCAGATTTTTAACTTCTCGATCATCTATAGAACTGTAATCACTCCAAGAGGCAGCTAGAGCCTTGATTTTAAGAGCCTTGGTCAAGGGAGCTAGAAGACGTGGAGTCTAGCTTAGCCTGACTTTTGAGATGTGTCTCTTCATGATAAAGTTCAGCCAAGATCTCCTCAAGCCCCGTGATGTTACGATACAATAGAGAGGCCCAGATGGGCTCAAACTCCCGACGAAGCTTCATAAGAAAATGCATAATGAGATCACTTCACATTCATATCAGCCGTGAGAGGAGCAACAGTCAAAGTGGCCTAAAGGAGATCACTCGTCATCCATAAATTCATAACAGCTTGATAATACGAGCGAACGTCCATATCACCCTAGATTAGGGAAGCAAGAGCCAGTTCCAGACCAAACTGACGGGAAGCACTGGCCTGACTATACGTAGTCGAGAGATGTTTCCACATCTCACTTGTCATAGAGAAACGTCACAAACTGAGACCCGTAGGAATGTCCACACAAGCCAGATGTCACATGATTACCTGGGCATTCTCGGCCTCCTAATCAGCGCGTGCCTTCTCCTCAGTTTGCCTAGTTTGCAAGGTTTTTCACCTTTAGTTGCGAAGCCATATATGCCAGATTTTTAACTTCTCGATCATCTACAGAACTGTAATCACTCCAAGAGGCAGCTAGAGCCTTGATTATAAGAGGGCAGTTTGATCATATGTGACCTGTCTTTCCACACTTAAAGTATATGGTTAGATCTTTTTCATTGGAAGATCTATGGTCTTCCTTATCAAATCTGGCCCTTTCTCGTCCTTCTTTTAATCTATCAGATGATCTAAGCAAGTTTTGATAAACAAAAGATCTATTTGATAGGTGTCTTTCAGGTTTCCTAGTTTGCATTCTATAAGTTCCTTCTCTGACTCTTTTATATCAGAAAATTGATTGTTAACCTGCCTGGAATCATTATATGCCCTTTTTGCTTGAAAATCCTTCTTCATTTTCAGCATTCGGTGAATTTTTTTGCTTGAAAATCTTCTGATTTTCTTCCTAGTCCTCCTCATCATCTTCATTCACGCGGATGGGTCCTTTTCGTACTATGGCGCAAAGGTCTCCATTATACCACGGAGGTAGATCCTCATTCTTTTCTTCCAAACTATTTAATAAGTACAGTCGAACCATGGAGGATTGGGGCTTGCTGAGTAGGGTGCAGAAGTGGACGAAGTCCCAAACATTTCTTAGAACCTCTCTTTGATTAATCTTTCAAAGAGCAAGCTCTGATACCAATTGAGATTTTGTAAAAGGAGAATTTTTATTGAAACGAAAAGAAAATACGCTGGGGTTTTTCTGAGAAAACAACAGCAAACCCTTAAGAAGAAATCACCCAATGATTTCTTCTTAAACAACAAGAAACCAGTCCATCTACTTCCCAAACTTGATTCAAACTAACATTGTGAATCAGGCAACTGAAGAAGACAAACCCAAAACAGTCTAGTCTTGATCTGGTCCGGTCTTGACCCGGTCCGGTCCCAATTCGGTCTAGATTTTGATGAGCTTGTGGAGATTTGAATGGCATGAGGCCTCAAAGGTTGAGGAGTTGGTTAAGTTTTGGGTGTTGAGCTCTCTTATCCGGTCTTTATTCGATTTTCGATCCGGTCTCGAACGATTTTTTACCTCAAATCTAATCCCGAAAATGGGATTAGATTGTTTGCTATCCGGTCTCGGTCTGGGTTATACGGTCCGGTTTCAGGTAAAATCAAATAGTCCGGACCAAATAGCCACCCCTAGTTTCCAATCCAATTTTTGATCCTTATATTCCCGAAAAGACTAGACTGGGACAAAATCAGCAGATTAATTCGGACCAATTTAACCGGACCAGACCGTATAGCCACCCCTACCTGGTACACACCTGCTACCGCCTTTAAATTTGGTGATTAGTGTCCCGAGGATTAATTCTTTCCCAGACATGATTGATTAATCACACCAATCAACACTCTCATACCATATATAATTTGTTTAAACGTATATGTGAAAACAAAGAAGACACAAATTTTACATGGTATTCCAAATTGTTAGGATTAGTCCACCTGAGAGATCTACCCTCCGGTTTGTTTTCTTATTATGCTTGCTTAACCATAGCCAGGGCCTTACATGGGCTTAACCATATCCATGCCGTCGCAGAAGCAGCCACTAACTTCGAAAAAGTCATAGTATAGAGGAATTTTACAATGTTATATAGCATTGGTGTTATAGGATTTTATCTTTTTTGTACAATTTGAAATTGTACCTTTAATGTTATGGTACAACTTCAGATTGTACCTATACGTTTTGTACAAATTCTTTTATGGTACAACTTAAACTTGTACCTTATGTGATGGTACAACTTCAAGTTGTAAAATTGTACCATAATATAATGATACAAATTTCTTTATGGTACAACCTAATCTTGTACATTTAATGTTATGGTACAACTTCAAGTTGTACATTAAAACACCAATACTATATAGCATAGTAGACATGTTGACATCGTCCGCTCCATGATAAAACGCAAAAATAATTGCAAGGTAATTAATCTTTTTTTAATTTGTGTGGGAGGAGGAGGGAGTTAGTCTGGAAGCATTCCAAAATTTGACTTTTCAAGCTCTGTACGTATGACGTTGGTAACTGACCTCTGTTGATGAAATAAACACATCCATATATCCAACATCATTAACGACCCCAAGTTTTCACCAAATCCTTCCGTAGAACTGGTAAATTAGTTTCAACTAAAAAACAAGATTAATTAATCAATTATTTATAAGTTTTAACCATTCAAATTAGACCAGTCTGCATGCTATCATCATGATATCGAGAGACGACATGAGACTACTTCAACCCTTTGATTCTACGTACAGCTATATAAGTAGCTAACAGTCTGGGTATAGGGATATCTCACCCTTCCTTATTAGTTAAAGAAAAAGCACACAGAAACTGAGATATCCCTATTTACAACTAGCTCAAGAATACATAGCATGATGAGAGGAGCTGATCAGCTGCACTCTGTAGTACTGGCTGTTACTTTTCTTCTTCTCGCGTCCATTGCGGCAGCATTCGATCCAAGCCCTCTTCAGGACTTCTGTGTCTCCATTGACGACCCTAAGCTCGGTGGTACGCAAATATATCCACTCCTCAGCCTTGAGCAAATTAATTTCTTGTTTGACTATGCATGATAAAGTGCCTAATGGGAATTTCTTCTACATATGCAGTGTTTGTGAATGGAAAGTTCTGCAAGGACCCAATGCAAGCCAATGCCGACGACTTCACATTTCGGGGCCTCAACATGCCCGGAAACACATCCAATCCGGTTGGCTCAAACGTCACTTTGGTTAATGTCGATCGATTGAAAGGGCTCAACACTCTTGGCATCTCTTTGGCACGTATCGACTATGCCCCTTATGGTGGTCTGAACCCTCCTCACACCCACCCTCGTGCCACCGAAATTCTTGTGGTGGTCAAGGGCACTCTCCATGTCGGGTTTGTCACCTCCAACCCTCCGAAGCTCTTCACAAAAACTCTACACGTTGGAGATGTTTTCGTCTTCCCAATCGGTCTCATTCACTTCCAATTAAACGTGGCCAATACCAACGCTATTGCTTTTGCCGGATTGAGCAGCCAGAATCCAGGCACAATTACTATTGCCAATGCGGTTTTTGGTTCCGATCCCGCTATTAATCCTGATGTCCTCACCAAGGCATTCCAAGTGGACAAGAACTTGGTGGACTACCTCCAAAAGCAGTTATGGCCTCAAAATTAATAGATAAATCACGAGGCACCATGCTACTACATGAAGCGAGAGCTTGTCAGTTTACATGTGTTATGTTGTGTGACTTTTATTATTGGTTTTTTTCTTAGCACCTACTTTGCTTTTTGACTGTTTCCTTTGTATGTTTACAATAGCGGATAATAAATTAAATAAAAGGCTATAATATTGTCCAAATTAGTCATTAAGTTTTTGAAATGATATTTTTGATAAATTATTGCATTGATTGGCAAAAAATGGCAATTCCTTCAAATGATAAGCTGAAATTCTTGGGTTGTTCTATCAATTTTTGGGAAGATTCCTTTGGGGCTTCTAGGGTCTCACACAAATAAGGATTGCAAGTTGACATTCAATATTTTGAAAGCCGACCTGCCAACCCTGAACTGTTGCTTTTAGCTTTTCGAAACGATGAGGTTGTTGGTTTGAAGAACCTCCTTCTTGCTCCTTATATTGCGGATGGCTCTGAAATCCTAGTGGATTGGGCTTCTTGCTTTATTGTTGATAATGAAAACAAGGGCCATTTGTTGAGGTGATTTGGGGGGGGGGGGGGAGGAGGAATGTAGCTTCCTCATCCTTGGGCTGACCATTGACCATATGGTATATGAGGTTGGGTGTAGCTATGCTATGGGGCATATCCTCATTGAGGTTTCCATTGGTAACCTTGATTGACATAATTTACATTAGCATGTCTTTGCACTCCAAGGTTCCAGCAATATTGACTGTCATGACCTACGTCTCCACTTGCATAAAAAACGATTAAGGCACAACGGGTTTTTTCGTTTGCTCCATCGCAGAATCCTTAAGTTGTTGAGAAAGCTCCTTTCATCTGTTGATGTAAGATGGTATTCACATCCTCGCTTCCTTGGATCGTCTTTAATTGCTTTATCATTTATCTCTTGGACTAATTATTTGACTTCCTTGCAAGTGTGGGTTGTGTTTGGCATATGACTCCTGTCATTTGTGTGAAATCACTTTTGGCAGACTGGTTCACCATCATCGTGGTATCTCAATCTGGGCCTATGTCAAAGTACTTTGCTACTTGCTCGGGGTGAATCCATGATGGGGCACACCTTCAAATCCTTCTGGAATCTGCTCCAAGAATCATAGAACGTCTCTCCTTCTTTGTGAAGAAATTGAGTGATATCATCGTTAAGATCCGTTGTCCTCAAAGGTGGAATGAACTCCTCGATGAATGCTTGTGAAAGGCTCTCCCAGTTAGTGAAGGTGCTGAGTGGGTGATAGTCTAGCCACCTCTTTGCTCCTCTCGTGTGATGATAGGAGGAATCCTTGCTTCACCGTGAACCTTTCGTAGCTATCCTCGAAGTGCCTTCCAATCAACTAGTATGCGGTACCAATATAGTTGGAGTTTATGATTGGGGACACCTTCAAGGTTGCAAAGAACTCCCTCATCAACACAAATATTCTCCCCCTTGATATAAAAGAGTCTAGTAATCCAAACTGCTATAATCTCTCACGTATGTCAGCATCCCAGCTTTGATACTAGAAGAATTCCTCGTATATCTCTCCCTGGGTTTTCACTCTTTTCGCATCCTAGTTCTATAGTCACCTTCGTCTCTGCATGCCTGGTGGAAAGTACACAAATGGATGAAGGATCATTGTTGGTGCCTCGTCGATCTTGAGCTCCTCACTAGTCTCGATCGTCACCTCCTCTGGCTCCTCATCCTTTTAACGCATCTGCCTCCTCTAGCTCTTTGATCTCCTACTATCTTGTGATAATCGTCCACTGCTCCCACTGGAGTGCGATGAACAAATTTGTATCGGTTCCCATTCAAGTCAGACTCCGTTTCGATAATAGTCTCCAACCTTTTTATTGTGCAAGGTGCATTCCTCCTTGGTTGAGGATCAGATAATCTAGAATGGCTTGTTGAGGATGCACCATCACCCTTCTTTTTGTCCTTGTGACATCCTATTAGTAAGTTGAATGATCCCTTCCTTCATTCATTACAAAGAGAAGCCAAATGAGAATGGTGGACCACACCCCACAGTACTTCAAAGTCTGGCTTCTTGAGTTCTTATATAAGCTAATTATGTGAACATTTAAAGATAAAGCATTAATTAGAATAGGTTATACCTAGGCCTGCAAATGAGCTGAGCTGCTCGCGAGTGGCTCGACGTTCGACTCGAGAAAAACTCGTTCGAAACTCGACTCGTTAATAAACGAGCCGAACTATGAAATAACATGATTTGGAGTAGTTAAAATTTATTAACTAAATGATATATGATACCAACAAAATATAATATGAGATTAGCTAACAAAATAAATCATATGTATCATGATATACAAAATGAAGTACCAAACAAAAGTCAAGATTTTAGTAAACAAGCTGAGCTCGAGCTCGACTCGTTTATTAATGAGCCGAGCTCAAGCATTGAATCACATAAGAATGAGAAATATTAAAGCTCATAAAAGTGGAGTTTAGAGGAACGTAACTATCTATCCTAATCAATCAAGCATTAAGACTCATAATTCTCACAATCATGCCACTCGTTACCACTTGGCACCTTCGTTTTTCACTCAAATTTTGAATTTTTTTTGCAAAGTTGGAATGAAATCTTCTTTATCTATTGGATCTATAAATTTCTGAAAGAAAAATACAGGCTCTAAAGGTACTACTCCGTTCCACTAGGGATGACAATTTCGACCTAACCCGATTTACCGACTTGTTTGGCCTGTTTTGGGGTGGGTCCGACCCGCCCGTAGGTGGGTCGGGGCGGGCATGTGTACCTCTCATCGACCCGACCAGCCCTGATCTGACCCGCCCCATTCTCAACCCTTTCTTGCTTATATTACATGTAATCTTAGTAAAATTACTTAGGATTTGCATTTATTACCTCATATTTTAGCTATTATAAAGTTGTAAATAAGTGAAAACCTCTATTTCTCTAATAATTTAACTACATTTTTTATCTTATTATGGTTTGTTTCTTGGTCTTTTAATGAAAATAGCGAATATTTCTAATATTTTTCATATAAATTACATACCCATTGGGTCGACCTGCCCCGACTCGCGCCCCATGATAAATTACCCGACCTGGACCCGAACTGCCACAGGGCGGGTATGAGTATCAAGATACCCACCCCAGACCTGCCCCATTGCCATTCCTACGTACCACCATGGTATAGGAGTGGTAACTAATGATACATACAAAATGACGAATGTGGTAAATGACAGCGTGTATATTCCTACTATAATGTATTCAACCATTATACACTCTGGTATGTTCATACCACCATTGTACACTTCAGTACCACGTTGTATGATTTTATGTAGTACCAAACATTACCACCATGGTATAGACTGATACTAAATATCTCAATTGTCTTTTGTTCCAAAATTATATCAAAGTGATATAGCCCGTTAAAATTTATAGAAAAAATGGTTATAGCCTGTTAAAATTTATAGAAGAAATAGTTAGGGATTTTCATAAAGATGATGTGACAGTGATGTGACAAGTTATATGCATTCTTGATTTTTCTGCATTCTTGACACCGATTATCGAGACTAGTCCACGTGAGAGATCTACTCCATGATTTGTTTTTGTTATAATGGTGAAATTGTATTAAAATAAAACAACAAGAAAAAAGAGTACAACAATGGTCGTGGTTCACAAGAATTGAACCAAACACTCGACAGTCCAGCGAGCACTGCGAAAGGGAAACGAATAATAGAATCTCGGAACGGTAACCAAACAAAACCCAAATCAGTGGACCGAGCCACTTCTTTTGGGGTAGACTGCACAGAAGAAGCAGGGAAACAGAAATTCACAAAGGGAGCAAACAATCAAAGAACAACAAGTACTCACAACACCTGAGAATCAGAGTCCACTCGAACCAAAAGACCAAACATGACGGCCAAAGGGAGCAGACACCAACGATCCAACAATAGCACTAGAACCAAACCCGAACAGAGTTACAGATCCCTCTTGAACCATAATGCCAATCGCCGCGTCCAAATAACCGACGAGCCCCACATCTTTCAGCCAGGTATCGCCAAGCGTTTTATCCACTTTTCCATGAGCTACCAACCATTCCATCGAGCACCTTACCGCTTTCTTTGCAACCACGAAAGCAGTTGATGCTTTCTCATCAAAAATACGATGATTCCTTTCTAACCAAACGCCCCACCACACAGCATGGAGAATACAAACAGAGAACCATTCATCAATATTCTCTGGCGTGGACATAGAAATAGATTTAACAATGGAAGCGATATCCCTCTCCCTGGAGCACAAGTCTGGCCTGTTTCTGCAGATAAGCCTCCAAATCTCTTTCACAAAGTCACAATCCACCAATAAATGAAACACAGATTCATTCTTCCGACAGCACAGGTTGTACCTGTTCACCATCGTCCACCCACGCTTTATCAAGTTGTCAATAGTGAGGATCCTGTTATGGAGAACAAGCCACAGGAAAAAACACACTTTCCCGGGAATAAACGGCTTCCATATCTGTTCAGACGGGAAATCTTGTATGCCGACGAACATATCCTTCACCATATTCCTATAGAAAGAGCTCACAGAAAATTTGTCATTTTTGTCAGGATTCCACATAATTCTACAAGGGCCATAATTAAGTTTAAAACTCTCAAGATTTCCGAGGAAATTCATCAACTGCTCTCTCTCTCTCAGCCCTCATCTCAAAGAAAATTTAAGGTTAACAGACCAACTCACCATCCCACCTGAAAAGGAAGTCACGTCGGAG